ACACGGGCATCCCCTCCTGGGATGTCAGCTTTTACCAACGTGTTCCACGTCTTAATTTACCGCGGTTCAAAGGCGAACCAAGTGAGTGGCCGCGCTGGATCAGTCTCTTCAGAGTACTGGTTCACGATCTGGCGTCTCTCTCTCTGACACGGAGCGGATGGCGCATCTACAACAAGCAGTAGATGGAGTCGCCCATCAAGCCATCGAGGGATTCTTGTTCGATGGCAAGATGTATCACCAGGCGTTGGCAAGGCTGCACGAGCGTTTTGGTCGAGAAGGTGACATCAGCCAAGCATATCTCAGCTCCATGTTCACGACACCAGCTCCTTCAATCAACACATCGCCTCAGTGGAGAGGTTCAGTTCGGCTGTCAGTAACACTGTGCTGACGCTGCGCGCTCCTGAATCACTACATGATCTGAGAGCCATCGAGAACCTGCGTCGAGTGGTATTGAAGCTTCCTGCGGAGTTGTCCTACCAATGGGGACGAGAAGTGCATCAGATGCATCCAAAGCATCCCGATCTGGAGATCTTCAGCAAGTGGCTGGAGACAGAGACTGCTATCTTGAGAAACTCGGCCAACCACAACCGCGATCCAGAAAGAAAAGGGCCATCCGCAAGTGCACGGGACCTCGGCGCGAAGAACAACTCTGACTACGTCGGCTACGTCTTCCCAGACGGAAAACAACCGACGTCGCTGGTTCTGTGTCCTGTGCAAGGAACAGCACAAGCTTCAGGACTGCACGGAGTTCAAGTCGAAGACGGTGGAGGAAAGGCTGTTCGTAGTGAGCAAGGAGCGACTGTGTTGGGGCTGCCTGAACAACAAGGGTCACTTCGTGTTATGAGGTTATCGGTGGAGCCAACAAATAACTAAATGCACTTACTTTTAAAAGTAATAATAAAAGTATGTGCATTTAGTTATTTGTTGGCTCCACCGATAACCTCATGACACAAATATGTCCCTAAATAATCAGTAAGGGTCACTTCATTAGGGATTGCCGTTCTGCAAGGCGATGCAACTTGAATGGATGTAATGCATCTCATCACCGACTCATCATGAACAGAAGCCTCCCTGGTAATGAAGAAAACCAAACAGAACCAAAAACAGAGGCACAGGGAGGAAGTCGCATCGTCGGCACGGCTCTCACAGAGACGACAGACACACTGCTGCAGTTGTGCCGGTGCGGATTCACGGCCCAAACGGGGAGAGAGACGGAGTGGCACTGCTGGACCCGGGAGCGCAGACATCACTCTGCTGTGAAGATGTCTTGGAAGAGATTGGGGTCCCAGGAGTCCAAGAGAATCTGCAGCTACAGAACATCGAAGGAAACGGTACCAGACAGTCGTCTCTTCGAGTTCAGCTGACTGTCAGTCCTCTTCGAGTTCATCAGAGCACAGCGACCAGCAGAATCGAATCGTCGTGCCCGAGGTGTGGTCTGTGCCAAGGCTGAACGTGGCCCCACCCAGCATGAGTAGCAAGCAGCTTCGCAGCTGGAAGCATTTGCAGGACCTGGACCTACAGCAGTACAACGGCGCACACGTCGAGCTTCTACTTGGTGCCAACATTCTGGAAGCTGTGTTGCAGCGAGAGGTCAGGGTGGGAGCCCCGGAATGCCCGTCGCTATCCGGACAGACTTTGGCTGGACCCTGACGGGATCGATATCCACCCTGATTCCAAGCACAATGCGGCAAGTCATGTTCGTGCGTCGACGTGCTCCCGAAGACGCTCTGGAGGGTCTGCAAGAGTTGGTCCAAGACTGGTGGACGACCGAGGCCCTCGGCACCATGATCAACAGCTCTGATGCACGATCTCAAGAAGATCTCAGAGCTATGCGAATCTTGGATCAGCAGACCAGGAAGGTGGGGGGCAGATATGAAACTGGACTTCTGTGGGGTGAAAATGAACCGATGTTACCGGAGAACTGGAACCAAGCGTACCGACGTCTCCAGTCCATTGAGAGAAACTCGACAAACCGCCAGAACTGGCTACAAGGTACCAAGCCATCATCGACGGATATGTAAAGGATGGTCACGCAAGGAAGCTCTCAGCAGAAGAAGCGGACGAGCCGAAGGGGAAGCGTTGGTATCTGCCACAGCACGCAGTAGTGAACCCGAACAAGCCAGGAAAGCTGAGAATCGTCTTCGACGCTGCGGCAACATACCAAGGTGTATCACTGAACTCGAAGCTCATCACAGGTCCAGATCTACTACACGGCCTTCCTGGGGTGATCATGCTCTTCAGGGAAGGTCTGATCGCTGTGACCGCGGACATCAAGCGATGTATCATCGGGTGAGGATCCGGACAGAAGACCAGCCTGCCTCGAGCTTTCTATGGCGAGATATGGAGCGACACCGTAAGCCCGACGTCTATCAGATGGAGGTGCCATCTTTGGCGCGAAGTCATCACCGGCAACGGCCAACTACGTGCTGAGAAAGGCGCTCCTGGACTATGGAGCGGAGGAGACAGACAAGATTCTCAGCAGAAGTCCCGAGCAACTGGCCAAGTCGTTCTACATGGATGATTGCCTGTTCTCTTGCATGACGGAAGACGCCGCCAAACAGCTGTACGCTGACGTGAAGGAGGCACTGGAGAGAGGAGGTTTTCACCTCACGAAGTGGAGAAGCAGTTCCCCGCTGTGCTGAAAGGCGTTCCAGAGTGAGAGAGCCAGCGCCTCTGCGAGCCTATGTCTCAGGAGCTCGCACACCGCTGAAAAGACGCTGGGCATCGCATGGGAGGAAGACGAGGACACATTGGGGTTTCGTCTCCAAGCCAAAGAAGTGAGTGCAACCAAGCGTGGTGTGCTCAGCAAAGTGTCAACAATCTGGGGATCGCTGCTCCTGTTACCGTGAGAGCCAAGATGATGATGCAGCGACTCTGGTGGAAACATCTGGAGTGGGACGAGCCACTACCCGAACCTGAGCTGAGCCAATGGTTGAATGGCTGAGTGAAGTAGAGAAGCTGAACGAAGTCGTGATACAACGCTGCGTGAACCCCAGAGGCCCAGAGAAACTGCGACGCCAACTTCATGTGTTCTGCGATGCTTCAGAGAGTGCGTTCGGCGCTGTGTCATACTGGAGGACAACTTCGAGCGATGGATTACACCACTGTCGCTTCCTGATCGGCGAGTGCCGAGTCGCTCCACTGAAGCGACTATCAATTGTCCGTCTGGAGCTGCAAGCAGCCGTTCTTGGAGCGCGTCTTGTGGCTACCGTCCTCGGTGGGATCACGAAGCTGCCGGGTGACATCCTGCTGGACGGACAGCAAGGTCATCCAGCAGTACCTTGGTAATGAAACTCGGCGGTTCAAGACCTTCGTGGCCAACAGACTGGCAGAGATTTACGAGCTGACCTGCAACGCGTGCTGGCGTCGGAGTCAAGTGACGCCCAGTCATCTCGCCAACGAGAGGCCGAACCATCGACCCTTCCGTCTGCTCCCAGTGGCCTCGCCATCGAGGGGCTGGGAGAGAAAACACATCGGCATCTCCGCAACCGTGAGATAAACCAGCGGGGTTTACACGATCCTGACACATCGCTATCAAGCACTGGAGGACCTATGGTCCTCTGAGTCTGGAGGCTCTCCAGCGTCTATCCATCTCCAGCGCGGGAGGCATTAGCCTCCGCGAGCGCTGCAGCGGCCTCGGCGTAGGTGTCGGTGGCCTCCTCAACCACCTCGGCACGGGCGGCGGCGGCAACCTCCTCGGCTACATCAGCACGGGCGGTAGCTTCCTCGGATGTGGCGGTTTCTGCTTGGGCGGCAACGATTCGTCTAGCAGCGACGACGTCGCCAGTCGCCTTGGTGCGTCGGTGGGGATATACCACTGATCCCCATCATTAATCGTTGCTTAACGAAGTTGAAGTGTTTTTTTTATTTCTTCTGTTTCATGCTATACTTGCTGGTGTTTCAAAAAATAGCATCGTATTTGTTGGAATGTGAAATGGTTTATATGTGTTAGCGACGCGATGTGTACGGCAGCACGCCGGTTACCTTTCGTGAGTGTTGCCCTGCAGTGCAACACTGTGCGGGGGGATGTTAGCACCGGCGGCTGCAGGCCGGGCCGACCGGACCTCCGAGCGGGCCATGTGGCGGCCGGCCGACCACGTGGCGCCTGGGGCTATGCCGGCCCTGAGCTGGCCCCATAGCAAGCAGCCCGGTGATTGGCTGGCTGGGCTCTGGCCCTCGGGCGCCGGCGAGGTGACCTCGGGTCAGCGCGTGGTTATTAAGGGAGTTCGTTCTAGATGTTCGGTGTGGCAGTGCTCGCCGCTGTGTGTGTATGTATGTATGTATGTATTTACATCGTGCAATCGGTCCATGAACACATGGCTATTATGATTGACATGTCATAAAAACGGAACATCGGGATTCAGTTGCACAACTAACACACACATTCACGCACACACACACTCAGCTCACATCACATTTGTACATCGCGCTACTCGTTTTGTTGTTTTGCCAGAAGATGTTTGCGGAGTTTTAGCCTGAACTCTCGCGTTCCCATGTTGTGGAAACTCGGCGGCAATTCATTGCAGCCCGTGACGGCAGAAAACAGAAATGGTGTGTGTGGTGCGCTGGCTGTGGTGTGGTGATGGTGCACAATACAGCAAGTGAAAATATCTTAAATGGTGTGGAGAGGAGCTGGACCAGTGGCAAAAGGGACGCGACAGTGAACCGCAGCGAGTCTTCTCAGCGTGCGAGTGGCCGATCATTTCCTTTCATCCGGGTCTTATAACACGGCCTCTTCCGGGGTGTGTGAGGGAGGCGGCCACAGTGTCTGGCCAACGAGTCACTGAGCTTAAACTCGTTCCCGGGTCTTGCCATCGAGGCTCGGGTACGGGGTCTCCGCTCAGACAGGGGTGCGACCAGTCGGCTCCGGCTAACCTCGCCATCGAGGCGCCGGAGTATCGGTTGATCTGTCCGATTACAGTGGTCTCGCCTTCGAGAGGCTGGAATCGGGCAGCGGCTGGCGTCTTCCTCACCATCCTTATCTGCCCATCGCTCTCCTACAGTCCTTGTCTATCATCCGGCTAAATAAGTGTCGTTGGCGTGTGAAATACCAGAGGACACGTGGCGACAGCTGCTCTTTTTTTATCGCTAGAAAATTGATTGAGCTTTCCATTGACATCAACGGTTGAGCGGTGTATGTGTGTAGAGTGCCATCAATAATCTTTAAATGAAGTTAGTCATTTTTGCGTTGCCAAGGAATGGAGTACCCCTTGCGAGCATCAGGGGTGACGTCACTCAGGATCTGTCTCTAATTGGTCGGCGGGGGAGTGACTTACCTTCTATAGATGACCTTGATCAGGGCACTTAAGAGTCGGGTACCGTAAAGTGGGGCTATTTGAAACGGATTTTACAGTTTTTGACCTCTCCCTTTAAGACGGTTTAAATTTCTTATAGCATGTAAATTGCAAAAATGTAGTTCTCTGTGAGCTCTTTCATATAGGTGCATTTTGGTTCAGCTTGTAATAATGATTAAGGCTATTTTTTAGTTAAAGCCTGTCTCAAATAGCCCGATAAGGTGGGGCTATTTGAGACAGTTTTAGTTGCAAAGAAATTGAAGAAAATCGGTGACGCTAGAGACAATTTTTTAAACGCCATGCAATTGGAAATTAAATTTTGATCATTTTGGCAAAAATTGTTGAGCAGAGACTGCTACATGTCCTTTATTCATTTTTTTCCTTTTTTTGTAGGACACTTCATTTCGGTAGGGTATAAAATTGCATCACTATATGCTAAGGTTATCATAATATGATGTGACCCTAAACTTTCAAAAGGACAGGATGTTCATCAAGGACTTTTTAAAGTCAACGACAGTAAAATTTTAAAAGTAAGTTTTTGTATATAGCCCTGGTGACGTGAAAACAGATATACCGAAAGTCGATGGGGCTATTTGAGACAGGCTTGCTACCTTATGAAGCACACCGTAATGAATCATACAGGGCAAAAGGTTTCCCAAAACATTAAAGTGAATGGTCTGCATGATTGCTTGTTCCATTGTACATCTCCATGCGAAGAAATAGCAAAAAAAAAATGTTAAACGTTTTTGATTTTATGCCGATTTTCCTCGATCGCTGCATGCTGTATCAATTGGCCCTACCCTACCACATCAAGTACTTGGATAGGCTCATCTAACAGTACGTTCATGTGTTAAGTAACCTTCAATGGTGTTTTTTGGTCAACCAAGGTAGACATATGTTGATTGTCAACTGAGTCAGTGACTGATGAAGCACATTTTAAGCACATATTCATCAGAATAGTTTTGTCACCAGCTAAAGGGACATTATGTTACACTACGAACATGTAAATATTGCTTGCTGCTAAAAGTACGTACCATGAACCCACTGCACGTTTATGACCACGACCGATTCACCGGTGTTGCTTATGTCGAACGTTCGATGCACTTCAGGTAGATGGCGGTAAGTCTTCTCGGGTGCATCGTATCACCATTATAATCAGCTATTTGGCATATCCGTTGAGGTTTGACCAGGTGGGAATCATCGGGATTCTGAGACAATGGGTTACGCAATCGGCAGTACCATTAACTATGTAATATTTTCATGAAAAATGTGCTTAGTCTATAAGTAAAAAGGTAGTAACGATAGATCCAGTGGCGAAGCTATTAAAACTTCAACTTTGTCATAATGCAGGTAGGGGTCCTTTTCGAACAACTTAAATTGTGTGTGTTTCTGTATTTCGTATTTTATGCCAAAGCCCAAATGTCTTTCATAACTTTTCGAAATTTACAAAAAGGTTATTCAGAGCATTCACTGATCAATTCCACGTCAGCCTAAGCAAAAATGACGAAAAAAACATCAAACGGTTTTCATTTTTCAGCGATTTTACCAATCCACTACCTTACTGTCTCAAATAGCCCCACTGTCTCAAATAGCCCCACTTTACGGTCCTCCAAAGTTTTCAGTATATACTATAATTATACTAGATCAACTAGAAAACAACTAGAATTGAGAGCTTACAACTACATACCGAAAAATTATGCCACGATATGGCAGCGCTCAAGCGCGGCGCAGCTGACGCTCGTGTTTCAATACAAAAAATGTGTGCGGTTAAACTCCGGCTTCTGAAGGCGCTGAGGGCCCTTTACCGGCCTCTGGTGGCCCCTTGCCTGCCTCTGAGAGTCCTTACCGGCCCAAGAGGGGCCATATCTAGGGCCTTACACTAACCTGTAATGGCCTCACACCAATTTCTCTGACGGCCCCATTACGACGACTGTGAGACTGAGGCCCTCACTGGTGCTTCTGAGAGCCCACCCGGCCACAAAGGGCCCTTCGGCACCAATTCGCCTCTGAGGGTCTAGGCTGACTATATTTCGACTGAGGAAGGCCTCACAGATCTCGTAAGAGCACCTCATGGACCCCTAATGGCCCTTTCACACGTAGCAACTTTTCCGGTCGCCGGCGACGGCAACTGTCGCCGGCGATCGCCAGCGACCGGGGTCAGTCGCCGGCGATCGCCAGCGACCGGGGTCAGTCGCCGGCAACTCCGCAGTTGTCGATATCAGCTGACCAGTCGCCGGTGTGACGTAGCAGTCGTGTCAGCCAATCATTG